GTACTGACCGGTGCCTCCTGCGCCACACGCAGCGCCAAGAGCTCGCTGACCTCACCAAGGCGGACGTCCTCGGCCAAGAGGTGAAGGACGTTGTGGCCGTCCTGGTTGGTGTCGGCGCCGTTGCGGAGCCCGTGGTGGGCGTAGTAGCTGTCCACGACCTGCGCCAGCTCTGCCCGAGGGCGTTGTCTGTCCGAGCGCGCCTTCACGATGCGCGGACTTACCTCAGGCTGGGGCGCAGTGTCCGCCTCTCTTTTGACCTGCTGGCCCTGCTGGCTGACAGCCGAAGAGCGGCGCGGTGGCGGTGGTCGAGGAGGGAGAGGGTTCTGGTGGCCAGCCGGAGGCAGAGTGGGCTGGGACGGCGCTGCTTGGCTCGCCGCTGCAGGCACTGCGGTGGCGCTCGACGCTGCTGGCGCTTCCTCTGGTGCTTCTCTTGTCTCTGCCTGGCTGACAGCCGGAGTCGGTGCTGCAGGAGCAGGTGGACCACTTGTTGGGGTCTGGCTGACAGCCGGAGTCGGTGCTGCAGGCGGACCACTTGCTGGGGCCTGGCTGACAGCCGGAGTCGGTGCTGCAGGAGGCGCTGCTGCAGCTGGGGCGCTGCTTTCTGCAACACAAGGTGGCGGTGCCTTTGCAGTGGTGGGGACTCCTTCGTTTTCTTCTTTGACGGCTTCTGGCTTCTTCTTCGGAGGTGCTTTCAGCTCAGGTGCCGCCAAAGGCTGCGCCGGCTGCGCTGTCTTGGCCGAGGGCTCATCAGGCTCACCAGGAGGAGCCTTGGAGGTAAGCGGCAGCTGTGGCGGCTTGGTTTCCTGGCTGACAGCCGAACCTGCCGCTTTGCGGGCAAAGGCAAGGGCAAAGGTGACCAAGGCGGCAAAAGCCCGGCTTCGGCTGTCAGCCAGAGCAAGGGCAAAGGCAAAGGTGACCAAGGCGGCCAAAGCCAGACTTCGGCTGTCAGCCAGAACCAGGACGTTCCTGTCAAAAGGATGCCGACGGCCATGGCAGAGGCCGTGGAGCCAGAGCCGCGGTATCTCTTCGAGGTCACCAGCGGCACCTCGTGCTTGATCTGCGACGTAACGCGTCCGTCGGACCTGCACCTGCAAGCGCACCTCATGACAGAGTGGCACATGAACAAGATTCGGGCGAAGCAGCGCGAGGTGCAGGCCCTCCCCTCGCTGGCTGGCAGCCGGAGTCCGGTTAACCGTCTTCTGGGCCCACAACCAAGCTTTTCCCAAAGTCTTGTCGTCGCCTAGGAGATCGCGGTTTGACCAGAGGTGCCAGATGTTGCGCATGCCCACTATTTGTTTCATGGCGTCATCCAAGTCGCTGCAACCGCCGGTTTCAACCAAGACCATGGCGGCAACCAAAGGTGACCGGTGGAATCCAGCGTTGCAGTGGATGACCTCAGTTGGCACTGATACTCAGTAGTAGTACTAGTAGTAGTAGTAGTAGTAGTAGTAGTAGTAGTAGCAGTAGTAGTAGTAGTAGTAGAAGTAGTAGTTGTAGTAGTAGTAGTAGTAGTAGTAGTAGTAGTAGTAGTGGTAGTAGTAGTTGTTGTTGTTGTCGTTGTTGTTGTTGTAGCAAAATCATAGTAGTTGGCATCAGCAAGTAGCAGCATTCAGCAGTAGCAGTAGCCCTCGGGGCCTTAAGGGCTTAGGTTTAAACAGTTTAAGCTGTTGAGGGTTTAGCTTCGGTGTAAGGCTATAGGCTATAGGCTATAGGGCTATGGCTAAGGCTATGGGCCATGGGCTATGGCTATAGGCTATAGGCTATAGGCTATAGGCTATAGGCTATAGGCTGTAGGCTACAGGCAAAAGGCTTTGGGCAAGGGGAACAGGGCTTCGGGGTTTAGGGTTTTGGGGTCTAGGGTTTGGGGGGTAGCTGCTAGCTGCAGTCAAGGCGCCACATCGTTCCCGGCTGCGAGGGCCGCCTTGATCGCCACAATGGCTGACCCCCATGCAGTGGAGCGCTCGCGCAGCGCAGCTGACGACAACACCCTTCGTTTTTTGGAAGACGTTGTCTTCCTCCTCCACCTCACGCCTTCCACACAGTATGAGCCTTCCGGCCGATACGTTGATAATGGTCGGCGGCTGATGCGGAGGCTTCGGCATTGCTGGCTGACAGCCGAAACCCGAAGCAGGCCTGGCTGACAGCCGGATTCAGCAAGCCACTGGCTGTCAGCCGAAGCGCGCGGTGTGGCGGCACCAAGGCGAAGAAGCTCGAAGCGGCTGGAAACTATGGCGCCTACAGACTACCGTGGCCCTCGTCGTCCTAGCAGTTGTAGTAGGAGTCGTAGTCGTAGAGTCGCAGTCGTGAGTAGTAGTGTAGTAGTGGTGGTAGTAGTAGTAGTAGCAGCAGCAGTAGCAGTCGTAGTAGTAGTAGTAGCAGTAGCAGTAGCAGTAGGAGTAGGAGTAGGAGTAGGAGTAGGAGTAGTCGTAGTCGTAGTAGTAGCAGTAGCAGTAGTGGTTGTAGTAGTAGTAGTAGTAGTAGTAGTAGTGGTTGTAGTAGTAGTAGTAGTAGCAGTGGGTGTACTCCTGTAGCCTCTGGTGCGGCAGTAGCATCCCCACATGTCATGTCACATGCCTTGAAAGCCAAACCGCAAACGTGACATGCCATGTGGGCTTTCTTGCGACCGTCCTGCCCCCCCCCCAACGAACAAAAAGCAAGTGCTGCATGCTGCATACTGCATGAGGCTGTGAGACTCAGACCTCGACTCTACCCAGACTGACTATAGACTATAGACAGACAGACTGACTAGACTATAGTCTATAGTCTATAGTCTATATATAATATATAGACAGTATAGACATGTGACATTGACATTGACTATAGACTATAGACTATAGACTATAGACAGACTATAGACCTATATTATATAGACTAGACTAATGACGACGACTATAGACGACGAGACTATACTGTACTACTACACCTGACACTGACACTGATACTGACTGACACTCATGACTCTGACCAATGATAACGACTCACAATGATTGATGTGAGTCGAATATGAATCGAGCTATGAGTGGAGATGACATGTGACATGAGATACAATGATTTGACAAGATAGGATTCGACAATGATATAGCCTTATAGCAATGACAAATGATGTGAATCATATTCATATTCATATGAGCTGAGATAGACAGATAGTCTATGAATCTATGAATCTATGAACCTCTGAATCATGAATCACAAAATGATATGATATGATATGCAATGATATGAAATGAATCATGATAAATGAATGAAAATGATATTAATATGATTCATGATGATATTGATATGATATGATATGATTGATATGATTTGATTCATGATACGAATGATATTGACAATTGATATTATTTATGAAATGAAATGAACCATGAATCATGAATCAACTGTGCTGGCAGGGCACTGTTTCCTCTTCTGTGGCAACTCTCTTGTTGCAGGTGAAACAAGCAATCCCTCTTTAAGGGATTCTTACCCCATTGCCCATTGCGATTACACTGGCTGGCAGCCGAAGCAGTCAAACAACAGAACGAGCTGGCACTGGCTGGCAGCCGAATGAAACACTCAGACTCAGACAACAACGAGCTGGCATCAACATCTGTCTGGCTGTCAGCCGAATAAGAAGCTTGCGTGGAGCGGTGTCCAACCCATCACGCCGATGGCTCGGCTTCAGGGAACGAACTTTTGTGTTTTCTTTGCACCGCAGCGTCTTTGCCTTTGGGCAACTGCAGGCCCTCTTCGAACCATCGCAGGAGTTCGTCTGTTGATGGGCAACGGCGGATGCCGCGCATGATCTGACAGCCGTGAAGCGAACAGTAAACGGAAAAGGCCTCCTGCGGTGTGTTGACTTTGATCTGCGTCATCCTTCCTATATACTGGTTGGGCTCAGTGTCGGTGCGGAAAACACGACCAGTCGCAGGGTCCATGCGCACAAGTCTCGCTGCTTGTTGCACCGTCTGCCCGACTTGAGCAGGCCCATTCTCCCCGCGTTCTTGCAATGCCTCGCGTCCATCTGCCGCTGACGCTTCTCTCATCTCCACTAAGTCCTCGGCGGACGCACCCACTTCCAAAATTTCTTGCTCCAGGGCCGCGTACGCATCCGCACCATTTGCAGCCACTGCGCTTGCATCTAGTTCCTCATCCCACTCACACAATTCTTGTTGTTGCTCAGCATCTTCGCTAGCCCCTGCCTCTGGCTGACAGCCGGAAGATTGCGCAGGGATAACGTGCCGCTTTGGTTGATGCGTTGTATCTGCTCGCTTGGAAGTAATGCGTCGGCGCTTCGGCTGCAGCAGCGCAGCATCATCCAGCCGCGAAAGAGCTGCTGCGACTTTGGCGGCATCCTTGTCGCGTCTTCTTCTGTGTGCTGCTTCTGCTTCCATGCCTGCCATGTCCTCAATGGCGGTGACTCTCAAAGTCGTCAAACCCTGGTGCTCGCAGCGCAGGCGCAAACATTGCACAGAGTCTGCAAAACCGTCCATCGACTGCTGCGGCTGCAATGATGCGCAGAGTTGCATAACCTCGACTGCTCCTCGCAAGTTGCACAAGTCGGGCTGAAACTCCAGCACAGTGCCCACAGCTGGTATGTCGGATTTCTCAGACAAGCAGAACACTTGCGAGTGCAGCGGGCAGAGCTGCAGCAAGGTGACACCGCAGGGTCGGTCTGCACTGGAGCCGGCGCCAGCCGGATTTCGCACGTTCACATGCAAAACCGGGAGGATCTGCCACATGTCGTCGAAGACAGGTGCTTTCTCCTTGCAGAAGGCAGCGAATCGGTTCAGCTTCACACGCATGTACTCCAAAGCCTGCTGGCGAGCGTCACTCAGCTTTTTGAAGCAAACTTGGCCGCGACACCAAGCTCCGCAGTCCTCAACAACTGCCTGGGCTTGCATGGGCCATCCCCTACACGCTGCACCCAGTTGGCAGCTAGGGAGCGGACTGCTCCAGCCATGCCATCCAAGCCCTCTTGGCGCAATGGGTAGAAGTCGTCTCCACAGTGAGGCCAGGCAGTACTAGTAGAAGCAGGAGGTCTTCTGGGCAACGCCTGCTGCGCTGGCTGGCGGCGCCAGCTGTGGCGGCGGCGCCAGCTGCGGTGAGGCTGGCAGTCGCCGCGTCTTGGCTGCAGCAGTGAACGTAGCCTTCTCGTCACGGCTGAGCGCCCCCCACTTGTCGGCTAACGACCGCATGCTCTGACCAGTTGCATGGTTGGCGCGCAGGAACTCAGACCAGCCGTTGCTGTTGGTCTTGGTCCCTGCTTCTGCCGTTTCATGGCTGACAGCCGAAACTGCTGACTGACAGCCGGAAGTCTGCCTACAAACCTCGCTGTCCAAAATACTTTTGCTCTGGGCCAACACATGTTGCGCAGCCAGCGTTGGCAACTTCGGACTTTGACCGTGATCCGCCATTCGGCGGGTGTGGGAACCTGCGAATGACTTTTTGCTCACAATGTTTGTCACAGGAGCAACCTCCAGAAGGTGCTTCATTCGCAGTAAGTTGTCAGGGGACAGCACGTCGTCGACCTCCTCCAAGCCTTGCTTCATGAAGGAAATGTACGGGTCGCGGTGCTCGCACAACCCCAACCTTGGACTTTGGACATCTGTGACTCTGTGACATCAGTTCTAGCTGAATTACTAAAGACTAAAGACTTAAAGACTAAAGAGACTTAAACTAAAGACTCAAGACTACGAAAGCAAAAGTTACTGGGCTTTGATTCCGAATTCCGGTCCCATTGACCATTGATACTTGAAGACTTGAAGATTTGATTTCTAGTTTGATATCAACCAAGCAACAACTCCTTCGCCAAGGCCTCTTGCGTTTGGCGGGAGACGCCTGGGTCCAGCATGCGGCCTGCCTTGAAAGGCCATGCACTGAAAGGCATCACCAACCTGGAGTACAACTGGCCAACCTGCACCCATGCTGGTGTTGCTGCACATTGGAACCTTCTGGCATCCCAGCCTGCAGAACCCGGAAGGCACAGTGACAGCCAGTGCGAGCTCTGTTCAGAGGACAAGGCAGACAGCAAAACTTCAATCGTGCTGACAGCAGGCGACTGCGAAGCCTGAGTGAAACTCAGGGTGGTTGCTGCATGACTTGTGCTTGGGTCAGCACACTCCTCCGCAGAGTCGAAGAATTTTCCCATGATAGATAGACCTGGGAGCAATGAGAGCAGCGTCGCCGCCAGTTTGGGCCCTACTTCTGGGCAGGTGGCAAACCGAGCAAACTTCCGAAACCTTGCGGCCTCTTCCTTTTCGAAGTTTCCGAAACCGCACCCTTGCTCCTCTGTGTCTTGCTCGATCTCCTCATCCCCACACAGCACCGGTAGCGACACGTTTGCAGCATTTGCATCTATCATCGGCTGCAAGCACTGGGCGAGCAAACCATGAACCTGCAGGAAGCAAGAAAACCACATCACCGGCGGGGCGAGCTTTGTCCACTTGTTCAGAGCCGGCACCACAGGCGGGGAGTCCAGGAAGACAACGCACAAGTCCTCAAAGATCTCTGAAGCCGCCTCATCCCTGGAGTGGTGACATCCATATGGACAGTAATGCACCACACTGGTCGTGTCATCCAAGGGGCCACAAAGGTTTTCGCGCAGCCTGCGCCATGCCTGGGCTCTTGGAGTGGTGACGCGCTTGTCCTTGTCGTGCCACGCTTGAATCAAAGGCCAAATCAAGTCCCACACTGCTCTGGCATGGCTGACAGCCGAAGAGCTGGGCGGCTCGTACTCGATGCGGAGTTTCTCAAACACCAAGCGCTTCAGTCTGGCACGGAGCGTTTTCTGCAAGCGTGACCTCCGCAGCAGCAGCGCACTGCAAAACAAGGATGCCATCAAGCCGGATTGAGCAATGCTTGCCGTCATTGACAAGCACAACTGGTGCATACGGCACGGACAGCTCAGGCAGGCATGACTTGTTTGCAAACACTTCACCAACTTTAGGCAGCTGCCGAAACTGTCAGTTTTCAACAAGAAGGTGGTTCTATCAGCGACGGCTTTGAGCTGCTCCAAAGCTACGGGGACGCGTGCCAACAAGCCACCGAGGAGGTCGGCAGTGGTCGTGCCTGGCAGCACCACGGTGGGCAACACCACTCTGAACACGTGAAGTTTTGCGCCCCGGGCTGGCAGCCGAAAAAACTTCATGTGAAGCACCATGACTTGAGCCGTTTCTGCAGTTGTCTGCATGGATACTGGCTCCTGGGTCTCGTCAAATGCAATCTCTATGCACTGCTCCTGAACACGCGGCAACATGTTGAGTTCCTGCTCCTGAACACGCATGAAAAGTTCTGACATCGCATGTCGGATCCGGGCCACGTGTGTTGTGCTAGACTGGTTCTGCCGGGCTGTCTCGCGAAGGGAAGCAACCGCCACAGCAGGAGGAGCTCGCTTCTGGCTGGCAGCCGAAACACTGCTCTTTTTGCGCAGCCTCGCGGTTGGCACGCGCTTCCTCCTGGGTCTGCGCTCTGGTCTCACGCCCCAGCAAACTCTGAGAAGAGCTGCGGGCAACCACTGTTTGTACTTACCTTTGCCCTTCTGGATTGGCCGCTTGCGTTCATCAAGATTGATGAGATCTTCTGACGTTTTGGCGTGCCGCCCATTGTATCTCTCAATCAAGCTGCGTACTCTCACAGCCACCTGATGCTTGTGTTGTTTGGAAAGCTTCAGACTGCGTGCTAGTCTCGCAAACTTGGTCGACAGCGGCCCTCGGTGAGCTGGGGTGTCTGTGCTCTTCCTAACCTCCCTGACCAGCGCATCGAGCTGCTCCAACTCCTCATCCGACATGTCTTCTGGCTGTCAGCCGAAGTTTCAAAGGTCGCAAGGGCGAAAGCGCATGGCTCAGAACGAACCCCTGTTCGAGCCACGTTTTGGATCACAAACAACGGCGAGTCACTTCTATGAGTCTATGCTGCCATGCTGTCGCCTTTTCAGAAGCACGGCCCACCCTGTACTCACATCCAGTGCCAGCAGTCATATACAGAGTAGTCATGATAATGACGATATTCGAAATTATATATATTTAAAATATAATGTGTATTTGTATAATTGTATTAATAATATTAATCAATTAATTAAATGAATCTCATGATTCGCCGGAAATTCCGGAAATTCTGATTCCATGAATTTCATGATTTTCCGGAAATTCCGGAAAATCGGCTTTCATGAATTCCATAATTTTCCGGAAATTCCGGAAATTCGGATTTCATGAATTTCATGATTTTCCGGAAATTCCGGAAAATAGGCTTTCATGAATTTCATGATTTTCCGGAAATTCAGGAAATTCGGATTTCATGAATTTCATGATTTTCAGGAAATTCCGGAAAATCGGCTTTCATGAATTTCATGATTTTCCGGAAATTCCGGAAAATCGGCTTTCATGAATTTCATGATTTTCCGGAAATTCCGGAAATTCGGCTTTCATGAATTTCATGATTTTCCTGAAATTCCGGAAATTCCGGAAATTCGAATTTCTGTATTTCTGACGTTTTCGATTTGTTTGTACTATATGGCTCTTAATGATTATCGGAATATCTGACATCTGAATTTCCGGGGTGGCAATTGTACAGTTTCCACAATGCCTGTTTGGCAAGCTCTTGGATTCAGTCAAACTATGCAGTTAACACTTATTACTCTGCCGAAATGCAAGGAAAACCTGCGTTTCCTAAAATCTGTCTTACAAGTACCTCGGTCCTTGACACACAGTGACACACCGACACACATGGTGAGATGGTGAGGGATCGATATTGTGGCTTGTCATCACTTGCATATTGCTTACTGTGACAACAGTTTAAGGTACTGTTGATGGAGGAAATCTTGCACCAGTTTAAGTGGCCAAGCCAAGCAGACACCCCACGCCCCCTTTTTAACATTGACCGGTGATCGTCGGAAGTGCCGTGGGTTCCAGTAACAAAAATCTTGCACCACCTCCGTATCCATCATCTTCAATGTTAAAAAGGGGGTGTGGGGATATGCTCAAGCGTCGTGTCACTTGTTACTAGGCAGATGGTGCAAGATTTCCTCCGTCAACCGACAGGATCCTTCTTGCTGAGATCACCCAAGTAGCCTGTGTCGTCACTCGACTGTACCACGCTTCCTGTGACGGGTACCATCCACATGCAGACCAAGCCCTACACATGTCCAAGAATGCGATACGGCAAGCTTGTTGGCACGGCTGGTTGCTATAGGTACGACCCAAGACCACGCAAGCCGACTGTGGTAGCAGGCTTCCAGGATGCGACTTTTTTTGCACCCTGACCCGGGTGCTCCACCTCGATCCAAGTCTGCTCCATGCAGCTCCGCGGCACTCCGGTGGGACTCCCACTGGCGAGCTCCTCGTGTATTCTGGCTTAGTGTAAATTCCTTACATTTCCCACAGTTAACGCTCAGTTAACACTCAGTTAACACTCAGTTAACACTACAGTTAACACTACAGTTAACACTGCCGAAATGCTGGGAAAACCAGCATTTTCGTCAAATGTGTATAAAAGACACTAGAACTAGCAGTTTTTCTTTTCAAAACGCGTGTATTCTGCAAAATGCTGGTTTTTGCGGCATTTCGGCAGTGTTAACTGTAGTGTTAACTGTAGTGTTAACTGAGTGTTAACTGAGTGTTAACTGTAGAAAAGGCACACTATGCAGTTAACACTTATTACTCTAACTGTAGAAAAGGCACACTATGCAGTTAACACTTATTACTCTGCCGAAATGCAAGGAAAACCTGCGTTTCCTAAAATCTGTCTTACAAGTACCTCGGTCCTTGACACACAGTGACACACCGACACACATGGTGAGATGGTGAGGGATCGATATTGTGGCTTGTCATCACTTGCATATTGCTTACTGTGACAACAGTTTAAGGTACCGACAGGATCCTTCTTGCTGAGATCACCCAAGTAGCCTGTGTCGTCACTCGACTGTACCACGCTTCCTGTGACGGGTACCATCCACATGCAGACCAAGCCCTATACATGTCCAAGAATGCGATACGGCAAGCTTGTTGGCACGGCTGGTTGCTATAGGTACGACCCAAGACCACGCAAGCCGACTGTGGTAGCAGGCTTCCAGGATGCGACTTTTTTTGCACCCTGACCCGGGTGCTCCACCTCGATCCAAGTCTGCTCCATGCAGCTCCGCGGCACTCCGGTGGGACTCCCACTGGCGAGCTCCTCGTGTATTCTGGCTTAGTGTAAATTCCTTACATTTCCCACAGTTAACGCTCAGTTAACACTCAGTTAACACTCAGTTAACACTACAGTTAACACTACAGTTAACACTGCCGAAATGCTGGGAAAACCAGCATTTTCGTCAAATGTGTATAAAAGACACTAGAACTAGCAGTTTTTCTTTTCAAAACGCGTGTATTCTGCAAAATGCTGGTTTTTGCGGCATTTCGGCAGTGTTAACTGTAGTGTTAACTGTAGTGTTAACTGAGTGTTAACTGAGTGTTAACTGTAGAAAAGGCACACTATGCAGTTAACACTTATTACTCTAACTGTAGAAAAGGCACACTATGCAGTTAACACTTATTACTCTGCCGAAATGCAAGGAAAACCTGCGTTTCCTAAAATCTGTCTTACAAGTACCTCGGTCCTTGACACACAGTGACACACCGACACACATGGTGAGATGGTGAGGGATCGATATTGTGGCTTGTCATCACTTGCATATTGCTTACTGTGACAACAGTTTAAGGTACCGACAGGATCCTTCTTGCTGAGATCACCCAAGTAGCCTGTGTCGTCACTCGACTGTACCACGCTTCCTGTGACGGGTACCATCCACATGCAGACCAAGCCCTATACATGTCCAAGAATGCGATACGGCAAGCTTGTTGGCACGGCTGGTTGCTATAGGTACGACCCAAGACCACGCAAGCCGACTGTGGTAGCAGGCTTCCAGGATGCGACTTTTTTTGCACCCTGACCCGGGTGCTCCACCTCGATCCAAGTCTGCTCCATGCAGCTCCGCGGCACTCCGGTGGGACTCCCACTGGCGAGCTCCTCGTGTATTCTGGCTTAGTGTAAATTAATAACATTTCCCACAGTTAACGCTCAGTTAACACTCAGTTAACACTCAGTTAACACTAGTTAACACTACAGTTAACACTGCCGAAATGCTGGGAAAACCAGCATTTTCGTCAAATGTGTATAAAAGACACTAAAACTAGCAGTTTTTCTTTTCAAAACGCGTGTATTCTGCAAAATGCTGGTTTTTGCGGCATTTCGGCAGTGTTAACTGTAGTGTTAACTGTAGTGTTAACTGAGTGTTAACTGAGTGTTAACTGTAGAAAAGGCACACTATGCAGTTAACACTTATTACTCTGCCGAAATGCAAGGAAAACCTGCGTTTCCTAAAATCTGTCTTACAAGTACCTCGGTCCTTGACACACAGTGACACACCGACACACATGGTGAGATGGTGAGGGATCGATATTGTGGCTTGTCATCACTTGCATATTGCTTACTGTGACAACAGTTTAAGGTACTGTTGATGGAGGAAATCTTGCACCAGTTTAAGTGGCCAAGCCAAGCAGACACCCCACGCCCCCTTTTTAACATTGACCGGTGATCGTCGGAAGTGCCGTGGGTTCCAGTAACAAAAATCTTGCACCACCTCCGTATCCATCATCTTCAATGTTAAAAAGGGGGTGTGGGGATATGCTCAAGCGTCGTGTCACTTGTTACTAGGCAGATGGTGCAAGATTTCCTCCGTCAACCGACAGGATCCTTCTTGCTGAGATCACCCAAGTAGCCTGTGTCGTCACTCGACTGTACCACGCTTCCTGTGACGGGTACCATCCACATGCAGACCAAGCCCTACACATGTCCAAGAATGCGATACGGCAAGCTTGTTGGCACGGCTGGTTGCTATAGGTACGACCCAAGACCACGCAAGCCGACTGTGGTAGCAGGCTTCCAGGATGCGACTTTTTTTGCACCCTGACCCGGGTGCTCCACCTCGATCCAAGTCTGCTCCATGCAGCTCCGCGGCACTCCGGTGGGACTCCCACTGGCGAGCTCCTCGTGTATTCTGGCTTAGTGTAAATTCCTTACATTTCCCACAGTTAACGCTCAGTTAACACTCAGTTAACACTCAGTTAACACTACAGTTAACACTACAGTTAACACTGCCGAAATGCTGGGAAAACCAGCATTTTCGTCAAATGTGTATAAAAGACACTAGAACTAGCAGTTTTTCTTTTCAAAACGCGTGTATTCTGCAAAATGCTGGTTTTTGCGGCATTTCGGCAGTGTTAACTGTAGTGTTAACTGTAGTGTTAACTGAGTGTTAACTGAGTGTTAACTGTAGAAAAGGCACACTATGCAGTTAACACTTATTACTCTAACTGTAGAAAAGGCACACTATGCAGTTAACACTTATTACTCTGCCGAAATGCAAGGAAAACCTGCGTTTCCTAAAATCTGTCTTACAAGTACCTCGGTCCTTGACACACAGTGACACACCGACACACATGGTGAGATGGTGAGGGATCGATATTGTGGCTTGTCATCACTTGCATATTGCTTACTGTGACAACAGTTTAAGGTACTGTTGATGGAGGAAATCTTGCACCAGTTTAAGTGGCCAAGCCAAGCAGACACCCCACGCCCCCTTTTTAACATTGACCGGTGATCGTCGGAAGTGCCGTGGGTTCCAGTAACAAAAATCTTGCACCACCTCCGTATCCATCATCTTCAATGTTAAAAAGGGGGTGTGGGGATATGCTCAAGCGTCGTGTCACTTGTTACTAGGCAGATGGTGCAAGATTTCCTCCGTCAACCGAC